ACTGCTCTGCAGTTTTAATTCCCTCTTTTTGCAAAATAAAAGGACTTGTTCTTGTGGTTTCAGTGCCCACATAAGCATCTCTGCATGATGAAGTAAAGCTTTCTTGTCTGTACATGTGGACCTGATAGGTATTTTTGCACAATGCCTTTTTTTTTCAGTGCAAAATTCTGTTGGAACATAATGGAACAGGGTCTGGTCTGAAAGCCACCCTGACAGCCTGGAATTCCTGCTTCTGAACAGCAGCTTATCCACAGCACAGAGATTTTGTGGTAGCCCTACAAGAAGACATCTGCTCTCCCTCCAAGTGGAAGAAGATGCATTGGGATGCCCTTCGCCTTGATGGGCAGAACTGTCCCTTTCTTGATTGCTGCAATAACGTAAACCTCCACAGAAAGCTGCTCTACATAGACAAGCAGAGAGACAAAGCTTGCCGTTTTCTCTGTGTGTCAGAGAGACATGTTTCCCATTTTGCAGGGAATGTAGAGCTCTGCAGAGCAGAACACCCAGGAGGGGGTGCAGCTTTCTCTGATTCTGCACCAGCCCTCCCAGGGAGCTCCTCCGCCTGTCTGGAATATGCCACGTTATCCCGCAGGCAGGCATGGGGATGATTTGTGTTTCTGGGAGCCACTGTTGTTCTCGGAGGGCAGCTCTGCACTGTCCTCCTCTCAGGGCAATGGCTCTGCAGCTCCAGTCCAACCCACCCAGCCAGTGCCTCTCCCCCCAGGGTCCCTAACCTCATGGCAACTGGGAAGAAGGTGTTGCAGTATGAGTACTGCCAAACCCAGCCTGTGAGAACCAGTTGGAAATACTACCTGAGAAGTCAGCAATTACTCGACACCACTGGGAGCAAAATATTCGGGCTGCATATACATCCCAGCCTGTAAACTACAACGTAAGGAGAGAGATTTCTTGCTTGCACATTGGTAGTCCCTAGCAACACCATTTGATAAAGCCCTGCTCTGGTTTGAGAGGTCCAGGCTGAATTTTCTGTTCAGTGTTCCTGACCCTAGAAGCCTGGCATTTGTTTACTGGAAAAAAAGCACAGTTACGTTTTTAAAGCTTTGCTGCTTGGTTGGCAAACAAATGCTGGGAAGTGCAGCTCTGCTGAGGTTGTGCAAAAAGAAAGCAATTGTTATTCATTAAGCAGATGACAGCAACGGGAGCAAAGGGGATAAAACTTGAAATCTGAAACCACCTGCTTTAATTTTAGCCATAATTGAAGCGGCTGCCCATGATGTTGCTGATGCACGTATCATATTTGCACGCCGTGCGCTGCTCTCACTGATTTCTGTGGCAGCAAGCTCCAGCCCACTGTCTGCTCTGGTTCAGGAGGGGATGAATCTCCTGTTTGATTGCAGGTTATAACGGGCACTTTAGAATCTGTTTGGTTCCTTCCAGGAGCAAAATGCAATCGCAGTCTGGCTCTCTGATAGACAGATGCTTTAGTCATTAGCGAGGTTTCTGTGACTGCAACACTGTGTCCTAGTATGGGTGTACTTATCTCTTTTGTTCCTGGTTTGAAGCAGTGATGCTTTTCTTGCTCCTGTGCTCACACGCTTGCTCTCTTTCTCTCCCTCTCTCTCTCTGTCTTTAATCTTGCTGATATGGGGAAAAATATCAGATCCAAATCTTCAGCATATTTAACCAAAACGTCTTGTAGGATGGGAATAAATTGTGACTGAGCGCAGCAGCAGTGGGCTGCAGTATGGTTGCTTGTCCTGCTTGCTTTTTGTTACTACAAAACAGCAGCGATCCTCAAGGAGTGCTGGGGTTGTTCTGCAGCTAAATAAGCACTTAGAGGCTCAGCATTCAGAAGGCTAAGGTGGTTTTGCTGGGAATGGGTGGACTGTGCAAAGCTCTCCTCTCACGGTCTCTGATCCAGGGATTCGCATGAAACAGGTAAAAAGGGAAGAGATCTTTTCTAACAGCAGAGAGGGTCTCATCCTTCACTAAATTCCCTGGAGTTTTTGCCATGGAGTTAAATGGCTGTAAGATAACACTGTCACTTCATATTCATCCTCATTACAGTACTAGCATATAAGCCTGAGAGCTGGCGAGCTCACAGCAAAATCAGTGAAGGCAGGAAAAGTCTTGACCTCAGCTGCACAGTGAAATGTTAGAGTGGGAGCATTAACAGTCTATCCTTGAGCTGTTTAGTGCAGATTTATACTGCATGTGTTTGTGTGTGTATGCCAACTTTCAAAAGCTATGAAAAGCTTTTTTATGATTTCCTGTGATGATACATACTCAGAGGGGATACTCGGATGAATAAAGAAATACGCCACGAAATGGGGAGCAGGTGAGCTGCATGACAGATGTGTGTGCTGTCCTTTGTCGATTTGGTGCTGCTCCTTAGCTAACAATATAAAGTGCTGGGAATACAACATGAGGCTTAACTCCACTTGGGATGTTGCTTAGGAGAAGATCCTTGCTGCTTTGGAGCATAGCACGTTGTGTGATGTAAGATCCCCATTCCCTTCTGATCAGCGTTCCCTACTAAGCATGTCTTCATTCCTCTGCTTTACTGATCATTTACAGCTGTTCGCTTTATTTCATGAGAAATTCTTAAAGGGCTGAGACAGTAACTGGACTGTGCTGTTCTGTAATGCAGCCCGGAGCTGGCGCCGCGTTTCAAGCAGCCAAATGAGATTCGCACTCAAGTCTCAGCAGACATTGTTTGTCTCAGTCGTGGAGTCCACATTTTTCTGGGGTCTAGTATCTCTCTGGACATCTTCGTTGTCGTAATAAAGAGGAAGATGGCTATGGCATCCAGACAGTTGAGGTGTATTACCCCCATACTTGGTAAACTGCCAGCACAGCCTTTTTTGGTCTGACGCGTAGACACTGCCATCTTTAAGGAGGCATAAAATGTGTTGCAAGAGTGGGACATGCTATCTCCCTGACTTGCTATCAGTTTGTAAAGTGAGTTGCCGTGTTTTTCCCCTGCAGTCTTTTTATCACTGTAATAGTCTAATACCTGTATTTAAATCATGAATTAGTGAGCAAATAACCACATTATGGGCACTTACTTAAAAGCAAATAGTTAATGTCAGAAAATAATGAGTTCTAAAAAAATATCTTTGGCAGTCTTTCCTCTATGTATACCTGATGATGAAGAGAATGCCGAACAGCCTGCCATGTTGTTTCAGTTCCTTCTTACACACAGCTGAGCTAAAAGTGAATGCACACTTCCATCTTCCACCAGTGTGTATCTTCCTTCTATGTGCATTTAAATAATAGATTCTCCTTTTATTTATCAATTCATTGGCTTTGTTAAGTAAAAGAAGTTGGGTAATTGCTGTGCCCACAAGGTGTGTGACATCTCTGACCATCACGGATTGTCCCCTGCAGACCGTGCTGGGCAGTGAGTGCACATTGACACAGGGCCCAGTGTGCCAGAGCCCCACCATCCACACCCCTGAGCCGTGCCGCAGAAAAGAGGCAGGGAATGGTTTGGAAGTGCTCTTATATCGCCTGATTTTGGCGTAGCTTCAGACAATGCTCCACTTAGACCTAAAAGATAGGCATCCATTTCTTTTGCAGAACGGAGTCCTGTGATGTTACAGCTCCACATGTGGCTCTGGTTTCTCTGTCCCCAACGGGTGTCCTTGCAGAAAGACCAAAAGGACTTGAATTCTTATAAAAGCTCGTACTCCTTTGAGAGCTACGTAGCCAGCAGATGCTTTACAGTGAAAGAGAACATCCTTTGAAAACAATCTGGTGTTTATTAATCAACAAGAATTCAGTGTTTGGGGTCCTTCGGCAGGAAGAGAGAAGGAAAGCACATGTGGGCCTGGCCTCCTGAGTGAAAACATGCAGGTTCCATCCCTGTGCTCTGCTGAGGAGCAGATTTCGTATAGCATTGGTATGTCAGCACTTTGCTCTCAGTTCCAGTGACATTTGGCAGGATTCAATATGCTTATGTTGAGATTGAGTTGCCTAAGACCCAGGCAGCAAGCCATTCACCTGCTCTCTGGTGTTGCCCTATAGATATCTAGATTCATTAGGCTCCCTCTTAGCCAGAGAGTTCTCTGGACACTTAATTTTAGACGCCCACATATGCTCAGAAGTGCCATTTCTGGGAAGGCAGGCACTTAGATCTTAGTTAAAGCTGTGCTGTGTTTCTGGTTTATGTGGGTAGGCACCTGGACTCTGTTATTTCTGTTGCAGAGGACTGAAAAATTAGATACGGACAAGACTAAGTCATGGGCCTAACCTCCTGCCTTGCAACCAATGCTCTCACTCAGGCATCGGGGCATCGGAAGATGGGGTCTAGGCACAGTTCAGCCTGAGGGGTTTGTCCCAATCCTGGCTATATCTCAGGAGACCACCCTCACCATCCCTCTCTTAGCTGCTCTGCAGCTGTGTCTTGAGAAATATGAGGCCAGCGATAAAATGTGAAAGAAGAGATGGAGTACAGAGGGGACTGGTGACCAAAAACAGTTCTTAGGATGCTGCAGGGGAAGGAGAGTCCCAGGCCCTCCTCCCTGGCGTGCATTATACATTTTACACTGGGTATGACCATCACCACCAGGAAGCACCGATGGGAGATTGTCCGTTTTTCTGGCTGCAGAGTCTCAGAAATACCATCTGTTCCCTATTTGTTGCAGAAGTTATTTAGGTGGCTCTGTAAGACAGACAGGATTACCCTCTGGGCTTCGGTGCCTTTGATGAGGGAGCATCTGAAGTTAGCACTTAAATTAAGCAGATTTGATTTTATTGCCTTTGTGTATTATAATGCCCATGAAATCATTAAAACTTTTTGTCTGCTCCTTGGTCTTCTGTTGTCTCCCTGTAGTGTTTCTGTCATATGCTGACTTTGTATGACCTGCCTGCCTGCCTGAAAAATCAGCAGCCGTCTTCCCTTCCCCACCCCAGCACACAGTGGGACCTCCCAGGGGTGTGGGATACCTGCACTAGCACTTCCATGGCTTGGTGGGGATTCTTGGACGAGGGACACCACATTTGGGAATAATCCTTTTTCCATTTCTGTCTCACAGATTGATGAACTCCCTGAAGGAGCTGTGAAGCCTCCAGCAAATAAATATCCCATCTTCTTTTTCGGGACTCACGAAACGTAAGTGAATGAACATGATCTTTTCCTTTGAAAATGTCTTCTTCCACTGCAGCTAACATCATCTCCACTGATTTTATGGGAACAAATCCTGACTGAAGCCATTGGGAGCCTAGAGATAGGTCCTATGAGCCCAACTCGTTTGTATTGACACATGGAAGTGAAACCTGAAAGTAGGTGGGAATGCTGCTGTGTGGATGGTATACCATGGTCTAAGCATAAATAATAACCAGTGCCTGTGTTTCCCGTAAAGAAAAGTGTTGGCATAAATTTATTAAAGGGTCATCTGAACTCAGATGCAGGGGCAAAAATTTTTTACTTGGATGTACGCAATAGCAGAGATCAGGCTGTGTTCAGACACGTTTGGGTTCGCATCCTGTGTGAGAACTCACTTGGTAGTTTTTAAAATGAAAGGAAGCAGACCCCAGAATCTCACACAGTCCTCATATAGCTTTAAAATATATGCATTCCTTTGAGATTTGTGCTGGGGATATTGTAGGATATTCACTCTCAGAAGTGATAGAAGTACGCAATAGCAGAGATCAGGCTGTGTTCAGACACGTTTGGGTTCGCATCCTGTGTGAGAACTCACTTGGTAGTTTTTAAAATGAAAGGAAGCAGACCCCAGAATCTCACACAGTCCTCATATAGCTTTAAAATATATGCATTCCTTTGAGATTTGTGCTGGGGATATTGTAGGATATTCACTCTCAGAAGTGATAGAAG